CTTTGTGACATTAAAATTGAAATATTGCATGTCCACATATGTTACTAAATTAATTAGAACCAACTGTTAACTAAGCATGCTGGGATTGCCTGTCTTGTATATTGCCCCCGCCGGGTACAAAAAAGAGCTGTGATCTGGTCTAGCTTCTTGGCTGAGGTGCAATGTTCCATGAACACTGTTTTTCAGCCTAGCAGTAAAACGAGGATATTCATTTGTGCCCAAAGTAGTGTTGGACCTACTGAGCCCTGCTCAGTCCAAACAAGTGTCTTGTACCAAGTCTTTCAGAAATGCAGGGCATAGACCCTGTGCTTGTGCTTGCAGTTGGTTTGGGTCTTATCAGTTCTGGCTTGGATGTGTCAAAGATGACTACACACTGTCCAGGAGCCATGGTAATTTGGGCACTGAACCCTCATCTGCATGTGATGCTGTACATGACAACTGAGTCCCTCTGGAGCTGAGGGCTGCAGCTCTGCAGAAGCCAGTCTGGCTGCAGAACTGAGCTGCAGCTACTTCAGCTCAAGTTGGGTCTTTACAAAAACCTTAAAGTTCCCTTCCCTGAGCTCCCCAAGCATGTCCTACCATAGACATCCCAGTACCTGTGGACTGCAGTCTGGCTTTAAACTTAAAAGCTAAAATGACCAAAGCAAGGCTAAATATGTTTTGGTATCTTCTTACTGACTGTTTTACCATAATCAATTGTCATTTTCTTGAAAAAATTTCAGTATTGTGGAATCAGCCTTCACTTTAAGGAGACTGATGGATTGGAAAAAATTCAAGCAGCTCTGTGAGTATATATCAAGAATGATAGACAAAGTCTTACCAGACTAAATATATTGTTTGTTCTGTCTTTGTCTAGATATAGTGGCTATTCAAAAAGTAGATAACTATGATTAGTCTCTGAAAAAGAATAATACAAATCCTCTGTTTCCCCTGCTCTTCAAGTTAGTCCCTCAGTCTCATTGCCCGATGGATCAAATAGAGTTGATCTCCAGGCCAAGAGCTTATTTGCGTATATAGGCTTAAGAAGACTGAAGCAATTACTTTAGAAGGGAATATTTCCATGACCAAAGCACATGGTACCTGTGGTGAAATTTATTCAGACAAACATTTTATCTAAGATGGCCTTTCATGTGTAAGTCTCTAGGTAGTTATGGCTTTGCTTTGATGTCCTCTCATTTTCTTTTGGGGTTGAAATAAATATCTGAGGTCCACAGCCTTTGTGTCCCTATCAGCTTCTGGGTCAGCTGGCCAGCAGAGAAGTTGTCCAATCCCATTTTTGAGAGATATTCTTTCATCCTTTAAGGTCTCAACTCCAGCAAAAGATAAACTAGTAAATTTATCTGCAATCTGTGAATATTGCCTCTTGGGACAGACCCCTTTGCCCATGCTTGGCTTCTCTCTTACTCTTTCTGTAAGAAACTGGACCAACCCCTGGTACCCAACCAACAGAATTCTTTGGATTCAGATATGAGTAAGAATGGCAGTGAGAACCTGGATTGTATGTTCATAACAATCATTATGATTATTTTCTTATTTTGCTGCAGTTACTACATATACAGTCATATTTCTGTCTGAAGAAACAGAACGCCTTCACAGACGAGTACAAAAAGATGCATGTGTTTTCCCAAGCCTGAACTTACGAGCTTGTATGTACTTTACTGTCATCTGACGCTTATTGTAAGAAATATATTTTACATAATTGACAGTGGCAGCCACATATTCTGAGATAAAAAAGACTGTATTGAGCTATATACTATGTATCACTGATAATGACTTGCAGCAATATTTCCATAAAAGTAAAGGCTAATTTAGCACTTGAAAGTCAGGCCTCAAAACAAAAATAAAATGCTTTTCTGTTTCTGTACCTAGCCTAGGATTTATCTCACCTCACTGTAGACATCGACAGTGTAGACACATATGGTAGAACCCATCACCCCAAGCTCTTTTTGCAGGCAATACAGGGAGCAGGCACTTTTAGGCCGTGATTCATCTGACCTATTTACATGTCTGCTGTAGGAGGAGATGAATCACTGCCTAGACTAGATCTGTGCGGAGGATAAAGGGAGCCTAAGATGGCCAGCACAGATGTAGATGCTTGTAAAGATCTACAGTTTGAATTTAAGCTTGCAATTTGGAAAAACAATTTTCAGAGAAGAGTAAAATTTCCTAAGCCGTGTTTTCCTAGCAGAATGTGTGTATGAATATATACATATATGGTATTTTTCTTTCTGCAACGGAAACATTTGCAATAATATCTTTTGAACACTGGCCCTATACCCTCATCTCCAAATGTTCTACCATCTGAAGAGCTTCCATTTTATTTCTCTCTGCCTCTACCCTTCTTTCACACATACAGACATGTGTACACATACTGTGTTTTAGAGCTGGACCTCCTGAATTTTCAGCATTAACACAAAATATATTCCTCTGTATGTGGTAGCCTGTAACAGAGCTGCTGTTACACACAGACAGATATATTAACTGGGGTTTATTTAAAAAAAAAAAAAAAAAAAAAAAAGCAAAGCAAAGTATGCAAACAAAATCACCAAATGAAGATTTCTGAAATGTGCTTCTGTTTAAAAATAGCAATTTTTTTTTTTTTTTCCTTCAAGAATCTCCTCTACTCTACCTGCAGCCTTGGTGAAGCAGGGCATCCTAGGAAGAGAAACATAAATTTTTGGGCAACAAGTACTGATTCAGAGGAAGGGGGAAGATAAGACTTGATCATTTAAGAAAGGGTGGAAGTTTCCAAGTGAAGCTCTGAGAAGAAAAGAGAGAGCTAATGTTGTATTTTTATGTACAGAAGATCAGAGCTGAGAAGGTCTGGTTTCTGGAGAGTAAGGGATGATGTTCTCCCAGGTACTCCTGTGCACATGTTGTAGTATAATGTTCCAGTGCATCTGAACATCCATCTAGACTGCAAATGGCACGAGGGTAATATTTTAAAAACAGAGGAAGAAATGAAGCCACCCTGTTGCAGAGCTTTACAATGCTCATCTGTTTCCAAGGAGTGCTTGGTGTAGCTACAGTAGACAAAACATCCCTCCCATCTAAGGCTCTGGCACGCAGCATGGCAATCCATTTATGTGAGCACCTGGTTGATCAGTTTGCTTGTGACAGATCTTGGCACACCCTCTCCTCTGGCTGTAAAGCTTTACTGACTTGTGCATTTTGTGGGAATTTTTTTCCCCACAAACTCTTGTCTGGCATGGGAGGACTTGGAACAGAGTGACACTAGCTCTGGCAACAACAGGAAAGTGCATTTTAGATAACCCTTTTGAGTGCAAGCTTTGTAGCTATTTCAGGGCTTCTCTGTGGGGATCGGGAGGAAGGGCTGTCCATCATCCAAAGTCTGTTGCTGTGGGAAGGGTGCCCATGACTGCAAAGGTCTTTGGCAAAGGCCACGAGTATCTGAGGGCTGCCTCTGAGAATTGTGGGGCTCACAAATCCCCACAGGGTGCAGTGCAGACACAGCTTCAGGAAGAGAGAGTACTCTTCCACCGGTCATCCCAGTGCATCATTCATTAAATATAATGCCCTACAGGAAAATCAGGGTTTTGTGTTTTCCATACCCACTCCTGCATCAGGCCTGACGTCAGTAGTTTGGAACCACAGAAGTTAAATTAAGGCCAGTGCAGTCTAATAGGCGAGGGGTAGCAAATGCTAAGAAGCCAAGGTAATGAGAAAATACCTGCCATCTGGAGCTGTCATAAGCATAAATTTACATCACTCCCCACAAAATAAATAAATTACAGCCTGCAGAACATTGCTCTCTCTGGATGCAAAGCCCCGCTCCTGCCACTGCCGCGAAAAATTTTGGCCTCCTCAGTTTCTGCATGATCATCTCTTCCGCCAAAAGCCCCAGGGAGATGTGCTTGGGTGCAGAGAGACACCTGCAACCGCTGGCTCTGCAGCACACTGGGATCTGTTCTGCTGCATCCGCATGCTCCAGTCCTTGCTGTGACGGAAAGTTTTCCTCCTGGCTCTGACAGTACCACAGCCGCTTGGGGAAGCACATGACTTCCTTGGGAGACGGTGTTTCTTATTTGTGTTGCAGGCCTCCAGCAGGCATGGCACCGAGGCAATATTTATATCAGTTTTTGTAACATCATCGCAGCAGCTGCAGTTTTGGGAACTGAAGTGCTGGCTGGAAGTGGGAGACAGAGGCACAAAGCACAACACGCCACATAGAAATGTGGATGGAAAAGGAAAAAAAAAAAAGGAAAGAAAATGGTCAACCAGCCTCCTCCCTAGAAAGCTCATTGTGTTCCTGGGTGCCAGGGGTGCCACTTGCCCTTCAGATGGATACCGCAGGGCCCATCTGTGTAAAAGTGAGTCAATGGAAATTGAAGCTCAGGATACCTGTGACGGGACCAGATCTGTGCCTGCATGGTGCTTGTGCTCCTGGGGTAGCAGGACAGGGGAAGGGAAGTCCCTCAGCCAGACTTGTGCTATGCTCAGCAGTCTTCAGCAGTCACCTCTTACCCTTTGGCCATGAGAAAACGCAGTGCAATGCTTGTGTGCAGATTCTCAGGCTGCCCCCAAAACTGCTGCAGCCAGGTGCTGCACCTTGGCAATCAGCCCTAGCAGGCTCCTTAGCCCAGCTGCAAGGCCATGCTGGTGCAGCTTGATTTCAGGTGTGTTCAACCAACAGAGTTTTGAGGCTTCATTGATGCTATGAAGCTGGAAGTCATAGCTGCCCGAGAGAGAGTGGAGTCCTCTTCACTATGTCTCCTGTTCCTTCATCTACTCTACAATCAAGGCAACCAAGCGACCTTGGCAGTTCCCGTGGAGGTAAGAGGGCCTCTTCACTGCCCATGTATGCTCTTAGTACGAGGTTTCTGCCTCTGCTGCCAAGCCACAGTGGCTGGCAGAACAGTAGCTGTTCTGCCCCAAACATAGCTATTTGGTGCAAAATACTTTCGCTCTTCTGAACTGCACAGGGTTTCTAGAGAAAGCTACTCTCTAATGGGCCACCAATGAGCTCTCCATGTCCCACAGTCCTCTGCAAGGGGAACAGTCACTGTGTCTGCCTGAGAGTACTCTGAAATCCAGCACCTGAAGTTGCATCACAGGCAACCTGAGGAAGAGATACCATTAAGACTGGCAACATGGTAAGCATAGTTTCTTGGACTGTGTCTCAGAAAATGCCTTTCAGTCTCCCCCTTCATATGTACTTGTGCCATGAGCAGTCGTACTTTGTCTTACAAAGTACTGTAACTTCAGTGTCCAAGTTTTTCCTTAGCCCAAGCACCCTGAAATGCTCCTGGTGACCAGAACTAGGGTATGACAGGCAAGGAGAGGGAGAGAAGAAGATAAGACATGCCAGCAGTGGTTGGCAGATCCTTGGAGGTGGCGTGGGGAGGGCTTGGCAACCCTTTCAGCACTGTCCTATTGCAACAGGAAGGAGGAGGATATACAGAGGTTACTTAAAAGCTCCCAACTTTTCCCCTGATTCTATTGTACTGCAGAAATTCTGCAAGGGAGAAGAAAAAAAAGACTATCTGAAAATAAGGTATCCTTGCTAACTAAAAAAATCCCTTCCTTTAAGACCTTACTGCTATTAAATAATTGCTATGTTTTAAATTGCTGTTTTCAGGGGCTTGGGGAAGAAGTTGTCTTCTCAGTCATTAATATTTTCTTAGAAGGGTGGCTTGGCTTTTTCATTGCTACATCTTTACACTGAAATAGATGTGAAAGCAGTTTTGAGTAGCTCAAAGAAAAGTCTCTGATCAGCCTACATCTAAGATTTCCCTTAAGGACATTAGTGGGAGAGAAATAAGTGGATAAGTGCTTTTTTCTTCTCCCTTTTTTCCCTTTACTCTTCTTCTCTTCCCCCCCCCCCCCCC